TACAGTCACAATGAGCAAGACAGTGGAAGAGGAGGGAACCCAGCGGAAATAGCAGAATCCAGTTACAACACTTGCTTTCCAGAACTTCAGTCTCTGTGACATCTTTGCATAATCTATATGAAAGTTTGATTTTGAGACCACTTACATGTATTTAATATCCTCTTCTTTTTCCTTTTTTTTTTTTTTTACAGTACTGCAATAACACAGTATTTCACAGAGTAGTGCCTGGCTTTATAGTGCAGGGAGGTGATCCCACTGGTACTGGATCAGGTGGAGACTCAATCTATGGAGCTCCTTTCAAAGTACGTATCTGTATGTCTTATGCATTAATTTTGGGTTATTCTCTATCAGTTGTTCTTCCTACTGTGTTAGATTGTAAGACAAATCTTATATTAGAAATGCAACATTATACATAAAGAGTAATTGCTTTCATATGTTGCTTCAGTATTTTTGAATATCCCTTTTTGAATTGATAGTTCTTAAACCTAGCTGTCTTGATATTATGATAAATGTATAACCTTACTAGCATGAACTTCACAAGAAAAAATAGGGAGGGGGAAGACTGAAGAGTTGGTGTTGATATGGGGCAAACTCAGATGTAGAAACTTATGTTGTTCATGCACATTATATCTCATTTAGCAAAGGTCTCTGAATGTTGTATATGTGTTCATTGGTATTGTTGATACCAGCATGGCTCATCCCTTAACCAGGAGGCTCAGATCCTGAGTGAAGCTACACATGCACAGCAGCTGTGTTCTGTTCCACCTGATTGTTTTATTTCAGATGGGGCAGGCACCTCTAACTTGTCCTGCATAGCCTGTCTCTGGGCCTTCCATCTCCATGCTGCTAGAGTAGATTCATACAGATAAAAGGAACATGAAGTTTGTGCAAGGTGTTGGTACTTGAGCAGCGAACAAAACAAATATTACCAATATTGTAATAGCATCACTGCTTAAAATTAGTGTTTTCTCAGTGTTTAGAATTGTGATACCACCATGGTATTACTCTATTACTCATCGCTTTCACCTTGCTATGAAAGTAGTCGTATTCTGTCTTCTTGTGGTCCAGAAAATGTCCTTCCAGTGGATTTTTGCAATACTGTACTATTACAACCTGTTATCGAGCTTCCAGTAATTTAACATGAATTAGGATTTTTCCCCTAAAGATGGTGGTTAACAAGAACGCTAGTTTTACAAGAAATGTACAAAACACAGTTAATTTTAGAAATGCTTTGGATTTTTTTAACATTTGGGGGATAATGAATTCCAACAAAAATAATGAATAATGATTAGTAGCAATGATGGGAAAAAAGAAACTTAACAAGACAGAACTTAGAGGTTTTATTGAATCATGTGTCTTTCTATTTTTGATATACTAGTTTCTAATCTTTGTCTTTTGATATTTGTTGGTTGTGTGTTTATGGTTTCTTTTGAAAGAAGATTGTTCACTTGTTTGCATTATTATAGGCACTAAGAAGAAAAACTTTGACTAGAATCGATTTTTTTTGCTGAAAGCTGAAGCTTTTAAATACAATTGTGGCATTAAGTTTCAAAAGACTGGTTTTATTACTGTCTGAATAGAAAAGAAAATCAACAGCATATTTTCTGTGTGTGCATATTGATGTAAATAAACTGTAGCTAAAGAAGTGGAAAATATAGTTACATACTTAAATTGTGTTTTTTTCTCTTCTGTCTTTGCCAGGATGAGTTCCACTCACGATTGCGATTTAATCGAAGAGGACTTGTTGCTATGGCAAATGCTGGGCCCCACGATAACGGGAGTCAGTTTTTCTTTACGTTGGGTCGTGCAGATGAACTTAATAACAAGCACACAATTTTTGGAAAGGTCTGTTACACAGACTAGAGTCCCAGTTTGAGTTTGACAGAGGCTCCTCTGTATTCAAAGGCTGTTTTAGTGTTTGCTGCTACAAACATGTGAAATTTATTTCACTGCTTTCTAAACTGTTTCTGTTCTCTGTTTCCCACGTCTGGTAGAAATTTTTCTATCGGTTGATCCCATAATCATCTAGTTTGCTGTTGTTATTCTTCTAAATTATATTTTCATGTTGTGCTTCCTTTGGCTAATCCTAATAATATTATTATGGCTATGTCTTTTTAATCAGTTCGTCTAATACCAGTGACATTTTACAAAATTGTGTTTGTAAATTCTAATTACCCAAGAAGAATCAGGAAAAGGAAAAACATAAGATGAATTTACCACTCTCATGATTTACTTGAAAGAAAATAAACCAACTATTTTTTTATTTCATATTGTGTTTTATCTTCCTCTTTCACAGCTCACAGCAAGAGTTTGACATCTTGCCCTGTATATGGTCTTAAAAATGCAGGTTTAGCCACCTGTATTCCTTCAACTTTTAAACTGTTTCAACTGTTAAATTTAAAAAACCCAGACCTTTGTACATTGTACTTGTTGTCTTTTAGAAGTCTTACATGCTTGCAGTATTTCCGATATAGTTTGTATTTTGAAAATTCTTTACATAATAATTGCCTTTTATTTTGCAGAATATTTAACGAAAATTATAGGCAAGGACTTTCAAACCTTTTTTATAAATTTGACAGGTTACAGGGGATACAATATATAACATGTTGCGCCTGGCTGAAGTAGAAGTTGACAAAGAAGAGAGACCTCTCAGTCCACACAAAATAAGAAGTAGTGAGGTGAGTATGTTCTGGTTTGAAATTTGAAGTTTTAAAATTCTTTTGTTCATAGTGTTCAGAAAACAGTGTTCTACAGTATGAAAACTTGGCATGTCTGTTTATATATTGTTCTAAAATATTGAATCATTTAATTATAACAAAATACTTATTAAAGATGTGTCTAAAATACTACTTTTTGAACAGGTTTTGTTTAATCCTTTTGATGACATTGTTCCAAGACCAAATAGAAAGCTGAAGAAGGACAAACCAGAAGAAGAAACTAAGAAGTCCAGAGTAAAAGGCACAAAGTAAATATATGCAGCATAAGTGGTGGTTAATTTTCTTTCACCTTTAATTTGCACCTTGGTAATTTTCTACTTCTGCGTTTAAAACACAAGGTTTTACCAAAATGCACAAAGGAATGGTGTCTAATCTTAGCAAACCCTACTTCCCTGTTTCTGAAGAGATCATTATCTGACTGAAGTGGTTACGGTGCAGTTTTTTGCAGAAGAGACATGCAAGGTAGCTTAAGACTTTCCCATGGGCAAGAATATGTAATCATTCATTTTGTGACTGAGGTGACACTGAAGTTAATATGTACTAGTAACTAGGTCATAGCTCAGTTGTTTGGGCTTTTTGAACTTATCAGCTACCACTTCTTTCCCACTAAAATAACTAACAAAAGGCAGGTGTTTTGACTTAGGAAATTTCAGTTCCTGTGAATGAAATTTGATACTCATAAACATGTAGTGAAAAGTAATAGGAAATATAAAGTGTGTGTATGCCATCAGTTCTGTTGGACAGAAGTGCAACATGTTGTGACTGACTGGTTCCAACATGGTATAAACAATTTTGGAAAAAAGAAATGGTTATTTCTTTTAATTACATTCTGTGAACGTGTGTGCATTTGATGCCTTTCTGAGCTATCATATCTTGAAAATTTTGTGTTTGGTACTTGAATGTTGCTCTGTTAGAAAAAAAAAAAATTGAAAAAAATTCAATTGCTCTGTTTTCAGAGCCATCAGCGCTTAGGAGTCTGTGAAAGTTAGTCAAGGCAGAATTTCTTAAATTCCATCTTACCTTTTTCTAAGTGATGCCTATTCTGATTGTTTTGTCTCAGGAATAGAACAGAACATGCTTCTCTAGATGTTAATGGTTTATTGCAAAACAACATGTAGTTGTTTGAAGTTGTTTGGAATCAGTACATTTAGCAGGACAAAAAGTTTTTTAAAAAATCACATAGAATATGCAAGTAACATGTTTAAAGTTTATGGAATGTTAATAAGACAGTATTTCAAGTCTTACTAGAAAACGTGTTTTCTCTCTTAAAGAAATTTTAACCTGCTTTCCTTTGGGGAAGAAGCTGAAGAAGAAGAGGAGGAAGTCAATAGAGTTAGTCAGGTACTGTACCAAATCATCCCCATTTTTCTCTTCAACTTAAAGTTACCGACTTTGCATGTTTGTAAAAGCTTTGAAGTTCTCCATCTTGTTCTTATGTTTGTGTTTTGAACAGTAATACTAGAAATTATTTCAATTTCTATCTTCTACTATTTTACCATGTTGAAAAAACAGAGGTTAACTTTTTTAATTTTGAAGGTGCCTTCAGTTACTGCATGATGTATTTACATTTCCATGAACATAAAGTTTCGTACTTCATAGTGCTATGTCTGCTGTTTAAAATTCATGGAGGTGATAAATCCTTCACTCTTCTTCACCTCCTTAATTATAAGAGTGTCATTTCACGGTAAAATATTTGAGGTTTGAAATAGATCAACTTGTTCATTGCCAGTGCATTCTTCACTCCATTTTCTTATGAACGTCCATTCTATGTGCAAAATTAAGTGGGGTTATTGTGGGTAGAATAGTGCATTATCATAATTAAATATTGCATTATTGTAAATTGTCCACACTCACAGAATTAGGGTTGCATAGGTAGTTGATCTAACATTTCCTGACCTGACTTTGCCTCTTAAATAAGGTCAGTTTAATTTTAACAATTTTTGTCATTCTCATTTCTACTGCTGACCAAATTATTTCTCTAGAGCCCTAGGCTTTCTTACTTATTTGTACGTTTCAGGTACCTACCTGCTACAGTTAGTGATCAGACTACATGGTGCTGAGTCCTGTACCACAAAAGTGAAATAATGCTCCTCAGCCCTCAGGATTTAGTTAAAATACAAAAGAAAACAGTGAATAATGATGGACAATATTAGTGAGATGGTATCAATCAGGATGATAGCAGAGGTTTATACAACAGTTAGTTTTAACTATTTTTTTTCTTGCTTCAGCTTACCAGTCAGACTAACTATATTGTTTACCTTAACATGCTCATCTGCCGTTCTGCTCTGCTCCTGGTATATGTCTGGGTTTTAATATTGTATTTAACTTGGTTGCTTTGATGTTCTTCCCTTTCAAGCAAAATACTTGCTTTTCAGTTTAAAATTGTCTGAATAGAACACCTCTTTCGTGACAAGTCCAGTTTCAGTGTTGTCACGCTGTCTTCAACTTGGTCTTAAAATCTCATCCTCATGTTTGTCCTGACTAAATTCTGGACTAGGTGCGCTTGGGAAAATAACCAAATCAACTGTTTATGAAGAATTTCTTTTCATTCCTTATAATGGAATGAAACCTTTTTTCCAAACCTCATTGCTTGTTTCTAATATATCTAGGTAGTATCTCTATAGTCTGGACACTATCGTAATCTTGATTAAATTGAGGAAGTATGTGAACTGCAGCACCAACTTTCATTCTCTTTTCTTTATAAGAAAAATTTAAGGTCAAAGTTAATAATGGGATTCTTTGACATCTACAAATTCAGAATCTTTCTGTGAACTTTTTTTGTGGTGGCTAGGTGCAGTAAGTCTTGCTTGTTTCAAAGTTAGAAGGGTGTATTTTAAGGACTGAGGTTGAGAAGAAAGTCTGCAAGTAGCTGAGGAATCCTCTAACAGATCTGGGACAAAGGAACATTTTCTATTAATTTAGTGTAATGACGCTGAGGCTAAAATTATCTAAAGAGTAAATGAAAACACCATGTATTAGGATGAAATTTTTATGGTATTTAATGGTTTCATGTTTACATGTGAAAAGTAAGAATTCTTGTCTCAGTCACATCATATTAACCGAGTAAGTACTGAACTTAAGGATGCCTCCCTAAGTCTTTTCTCCACCTTCCCCACTATGAACAATTTTCTACTCTGGACTTGTTCAGCCTGCACTGTACTTAGTCTAAGTGAGGGAATATATTTTGCTTTTGCTGCAGTGTATCACCAGACTCTTGTTCCTGAGACTGTACAAAGGGCAAGAAGGATAACTGGCGATATGGATCATGGTAACTTTACAATTAAAATAAAGGAAGAGAGGGAGGGAAAGATGAGAATGTTTATGCCCTATTTCTTACAATATGGAAGTTGAGATGCAAAGATAAACGATCAAATAAATATACAAAGAAAAAGTCTTTTCCCTCTTGGAATTTAAGTTGTGAACATTCATGCCGCAGAAGTGAAAATGCTTTCAAAAAGAGATTAAACAAGGGATTAGGGTCATTGGTGTCTTTTAAATGTTAGAGGTCAATTTGTGTCTTCTGTATCAGGATAGTCAGTAAATGCTTGTATTATAGAGAGTATGAATCTTAGAAAGAAAATTTGTGTGCCCCAGGAGGTTATAGAAGGCAGAGAAGGAAGTTTGTGTCAAGGAGTGGCAAGAGCATAGTGGCTGCACGGAGGAGGGTGAGTGAGGAGGCAAGAGTGATTCCACCAACAGGGGCACAATCCCACAGGGTCTTGATACAGCAGGCAGAGTAGTTGGTTGCTGGTAACAGGGTCCGTCAACAGTCCTGGACATGGCAAGCAATAACCAAGACCAAGGTCCCCATCCAGAGAGTCCAGTCAGAAGCAGCAAGAGATGGGACAGGAGACAGGGCAAGTCTACAGGGTGGGTCCAACAGGCGCATCCAGAAGACAGGGTTAGGCACAGGTACAGCTCTGACATAGCTCAGGCAGCAAGTGGATTGTCAGACCTGAGCCAAAATGGCGCTCCTGGGCAGAGGATCTCCAGGTAAAACTCCTCAAGGACACTAGGGCTATTGGTGCACTCAGGGACCTGACAGTGGGACCCCCATTGGGTGTTGATTAGTGTTTAAACTGAAGCTTTTGGTGTCCAGACTGCTCATTTAATTGTCTATGTTTGTTTTAAGCAGTTTACAAAGGTGATAAGTGCTTGTCTTATGTTTCATATAGCTCCTGAATACGCACACAAGTTCCTTGTTGAAGGAAGTAATTTTTCATGTTGCTGAATGTGTTAGTCTTTTTTTCTACATAATAAAAAATTGAAGTTGTGTTTAAATGAGTAAGATTTTATTATCCGCACAACTACTGTCGTCCTGAAAGGATTATAAAATGTGGCTGAAATGGAGACATTCAGGTCACAATACAGACTGTTTCTGTAACAGATTTTCAGTCTGATTTCAGTCTGAAATTTAAATGTACTTTTTGAATTAGCATGGGGAATGCTTTCTTACTGTGGTCTTTCTGCCTGAAGATCTTGTATGTTGTTAGATTTATTTGACTGCTTGCCTGAGTAGATGATTCCTGCATGATGTATTGCAGGATGTTAATTTATTTTTTTCCCCCTAGGGGTCTAATTAGTGTTCTACCAATTGATAAGTATTGCATTGTACATGGTAGTTCTTTGAGTTGTCATATGCCATTATTGGAAAGTCAAGTTCTTACCTCTTTGTTCACTCAAGTATATAGTGCTGGACCATGTATCTTTATGATGTGTAAGGATTGTGATGATTAAAGAATCTCTTAGTTGGTTTTTTTTTTCTGCTTTCATTTAAAATTAAGTGTATTGCTATTGCAAAAATACTTTTTAAATTTATGTGGTCAGTTTGATACTCCTCTTTCTGGAACATCGTCTCTGTTCTGCCGTTAAAAGTGTTTATGCTTACTGGTCAGGCTTACACTAATAAGAAACAAGTTACCTTTTTCTTACCATTATCATTTGACACCATCTCTTCTCACAAACACTGAAATTTTATAATACCTTTTTTCTTTTCTTTTCCTTTCTTTTTTTTGACAGAGCATGAAAGGAAAAAGTAAAAGTAGTCATGATCTACTGAAGGATGATCCACATCTAAGCTCAGTTCCTGCTGTCAAAAGGTTAATACATGACTTCCAATTTACAGAATGGATTTACTTTCAGGATGTTACACTTGATTAGCATCATGTGTACTCATCGTTTATCTGTTACTCATTAAGAAATTAAGAATGGCAATGCTGAATTGGACCAAATGTTCCTGTAGCCCTCTGTGTTGTCACCAACATTGGCCATCAGTGGCTGCCCAACAGAGAATAAAAGCAGGGCAAGCATAATCTTTACTGGAGTAGTCTCCCAGCCTCCATCTACTTTCAGCTTAGGGGACTCTGAGTTTGATGCAATTATTCTATTTAGTAATCCTTAATAGAGCTCTCATCAAAGTACTTTTTCAGTCTCTTGTAATATTGTTTACATTTGCACCTTCCTGTCTGCTGGAAGAAGTACCTCCACTTTTTCTACTGAACCTGGCTGCTGCTGGCATCGTTTGATAAATTCTAACTCTTATGATGGAAGATAGAGGTACGAAGGCACTGACTGCTCACTCTCTTTACTACAGTCTCTTCGTAGGCCATCTGTTTTCTAGCCTAAGCTTTGAAAGCCCACTAAATTTTTCTGCACACGGAAGTTATTCTGTGCCTCTGGTTATTCTTGTTGCTCTTCCCAGCCCTGGTTCTGTTCTAAAAGATTTTTATTTTTTTTCCCCAAATCTAAAAAACATATTAAAAATTAGGTGAATCACAAATCTGTATGCTTGCATAAAAACGGTCTGTGTTTTATTCTGTATTTCTTTTTAATACCTCCTAACTTCTGATTTGCTTTTTTAGCCGCTGTTGACTATTGACCTGAGGCAATTCCATGAAAATATATCTACTCCAAGAATTTATTTATCATAGAATCACAGGGTAGTTTGGGTTGGAAGGGACCTCTAAAGGTCATCAAGTCCAAGCGACCTGCAATGAGAAGGGACATCTTCAACTAGATGAGGTTGCTCACAGCCCCGTCCAACCTGACCTTAAATGTTTGCAGGGATGAGGCATTTTCCACCTCTCTGAGCAACCTGTTCCAGTGTTTCACCACCCTCATTGTAAAAAATTTCTTCATTATATCTAGTATGAATCTACCTTCTTTTAGTTTAAAACCATTACCTGTTGTCCTATTGCAAGAGGCCCTGCTAAAAAGTTTGTACCGATCTTTCTTGTAAGCCCCCTTTAAGTATTGAAAGGCCACAATAAGGTCTCCCCCGAGCCCTGTCTTTCTGAGGCTGAACAACGTAACTCTCAAAGCGTTTCCTCATAGGAGAGATTTTCCATCCCTCTGAATGTTTTTGTGGTCCTCCTCTGGACACGCTCCACCAGATCCGTGAGGTCCGTGTCTTTCCTGTGGTGAGGGCTCCAGAGCTGGATGCAATACTCCAAGTGGTTTCTCATCAGAGCAGATTAGAGGGGCAGAATCACTGCCCTCCACCTGCTGGCCACGCTTCTTCTGATGCAGCCCAGGATACAGTTGGCTTTCTGGGCTGCGAGTGCACATTGCTGGCTCATGTCCAGCTTTTCACCCACCAATACTCCCAAGTCCTTCTTGGCAGAGCTGCTCTCAATCCCTTCATCCCCCAGCCTGTATTCCTACAGGGGGTTGCTGCAACCCGTGTGCAAGACCCTGCACTTGGCCTTTTTGAACCTGATGATATTCACACAAGCCCACTTCTCGAGCTTTTCCAGGTCCCTCTGTATGGCATCCTGTCCCTCCAGTGTGTCAGCCACGCTACTTAGCCTGGTGTCGTCCACAAACTTGTTTGAGAGAGCACTCCATCCCACTCTGTCATTGATGAAGGTATTAAACAGTACTGGTCCCAGTACAGATCCATGAGGGACACGTCATGATCAATGATGATCAGCTGAGAGTACCTTGTTCTGTTTGTGGGACTCCTTTTCCTAATGTGCCTAGTTTTACTTTCATCTACTTTAAATTTTATCTATCATTTTATTGTTTCATCATTCAAGTCCTTCTGCAATTCTTCAGTCAGCTCTTGATTTTACTATCCTGAGTAACAATATTATCAAAAAACTCAGTGCCCTGGCAGTTTGCCCGCTTTCTTACTGAACTCACTAAACAGCTCAAGCTCCAGCACAGATGACTGTGGATATACACTAGTGATCTTCCTCCATTGCGAAAAGTGATTGTTTGCTCCTAACTTTTGTTTTCTGTCTTTTAACCATCTATTTATTCATGCATAGACTTTCCCATCACCCCAGGCTACTTAGTTTCTTTAAAAACCTTTGGTTAGAAATTCTGTATGAGTCCAAATATATCAGAAAGATCACCCACAACCACATGTAGCCCCTTCAAAAAACTCCCGGAGGTTAGTAACACAGTTCCCTTTATAGCCATGCCACAAATCCCAAGTATGTCATTTTACCTCTTACTGTGGCTTCTGCTTGTTCAGGACTGACATCAGAGTTACAGACCTGGATGCATTCTAAATATTTTCTTTAACACCTGTAAATGTGATTTTGTTTTGTTTTTAAATTATAATCTTCTATGAAGAAATACTTCCACAGAGAGTTTTCTAGTTTAATTTCTAAATGAAATGAATGTCATTGATTCCAGCAAATTTATGGTTTCTTTGATGACCTTGGTTACTTATTGGTGACTTAGAGCGCACCTAAAAGCCTTGACTTTGGGGACTTCTTTAATATTCCTTAATTTATTTCTTTAACGTAACTTCTTTTTTAGATTGGGGGATGGAAAAATCTTCCAGGGTCTTTGTTATTAGTTTGTGACAATTAACGGTGGATACGTTGGCCTTAGGATATTCAAATAGGTTCCATTTTTAATACACTAAACTGTAGTTGTATAATTTTTATGTTAACCTTAATTATCAGTATAGTGCATGTTAAACATGCCTACATAAAGAAGGCTTTCCAAAATATAGACTACTTGCAGTGAGATGCTAGAAATTCTTTAACATATGAGATCAAAAACGTCCACCAGTTTCGTTGTTGTTTTTTTTCTTGTAACTGTGTACATTAGTGTTTTATCTGAATAGCTTAAGACATGGTTAGAATTCATCCTGTGTTTTTATCCCGTGTTTTTAAACGTTTCTAATTAGAAAGGATTATTACAGTTAAATGACAGAAAATACTATTAATTGATACTTTTAAGACTAATGTGAGGATGATATAAATGACTAGGTTGACTAGTAATTTCAAGTAGCTAACCAAACAATTTTTTTTATTTAAGAACTGGGGTTTTGTAACTATTTTAAATCTCTTCTGGTATTTCAAAGTAGTTATGATTATTTTTCTTCTTTTAGTGAAACAGCAAGTGAAGAAGGGGATTTGAGTGAGGTAAGTAACTTTTTTTTTTACAGGTAAATCTTTGTTTTTTACTCTGTGTGAATTAGATTTACGTGGGGGAACAAATGCTACATTAGAGGTATTTGAAAACTAACTAGCTCAAGTCAGATTTCCAGCAAAAGGCTGGAGGCCCTTTCAGAGCTCAAAGGTTTAGCTATTTTGAAGATTCACAGCAGGGTAGAGTTATTTCTGCATACTACCTACTGCATTTTGTAAAAACTGCTTACCAGATAGTTCAGGCAGTAGATTAGATCTACAGGAGTTTACGTACCACAGAGTGACAGACCATTAATAAAAGCCCTGAAATTGCTTCTAAAAAAAAAAAAAAGTTAAAATTAAGTTTGTCATGAATAATGATATAACTGTGATGTCTGAGGGGAAATCTGTGTATGACTGAGAGTTTAAAAGATTTCTTCAAGGAAACAAAATTTCAGTGGATATTTATCATTTAAATTGTATTGTTGAAGACTGTCACCTCTGAAAAACAGGAAATCTGAATAACCAAGCAGTAACATTCAACCAAATATGGAGGCTATTTTAGTTACACAGAGATGGACTGTCATACATGGTGCAGAGTAAAGTTGCTAGCTGAAGTATGTCTTTGTCTCCAGTCATAGATCATTGGGGTACTACGAGTTGCTGTTGAGACAAAGATGTAGTATTTGACTGGGAATGTAATCTCCCATTCCCTAGACTGAATCCTGAAAAGTACTGTTTTCTATGTCTATCTACCACGCACAGGTACTTCACTGTTAGTTGATGCACTGTGGAAGTGAAGGAAAGACACAATCTAACCCATTCTTGTGCCTAAAAAAAAGAAAACAGTCTGCTTCCATGCTGTTTCCTGTTTTTTTTTTTCCACAAAGC